ATCATTTTCTTCACAGGAGCAGCAGAAAGCAGAGAAGGAAACCTAGGAAACCACCCACTGGGCAAGTGACCAGGGCAAATGAGAGGACAGGAGCTCAGGTGCCCCAGCACGTTTCAGAGGAATTTAGCCAGGGGGGTGTAGATGACAATCAGAGCCTCTGAAAGAAACCAGGTAATTAGCAGTTGGTGGAAGTGAAGTGTCACGGAGGGGAGACACCAGCAACTGACAGGCTCAGGATCTACGATCTTTGGGCACTGGTGGTAAGAAATGACAAGCATGCCAGGAATGCCATTCGTGCCATCCCTGCATGCTGAAACCCTATGTAGGGCTTAGCTTCTGGGAAGCATTCCTTGTTGAAAACATGGAGCCCTCCTCAACACCTTCCATTTCAGCGTACTCTCCTCCATTGTCATGTCAACTTTCCCTATGACCATGAGTATGCTGGATCCTTCTGAGGAGAGGGGTTAAGTCTATGTTCTCTCTACATACTTTCCCAAGAAAGTCTGGCCTGGGCCTGATAATCAACATATTGAGCAGTCAGTAGGAAAGTGCACTGGCCCATCTGAGTGGACAATGGGTGGCTGAGTATGTCTTGGAGGCCTCATCACGCCAGGCGTCAGCTCCTTGTTTTCTGGATCACATGTAGGAATGGTGGCAGCCCAGGAGAAGAACTGGGGCAGGCAGTGGGGATGCTGCCTTATTTGAAAGCCTTATTTATCTATCAACTCAGAAGCACTGCAGTATTCAACAATGGTTACTCTGGTGTGAGTGGCTGAGATCAGCTTGGCCTGGCACAGAGTCAGTTCCCGTAAATCTCTATGGGGCGGAGGTGAATGCCAGCATGGAACGACATAGCAGCAGACAGGACAAGCAGCCTTGCCAGCTGTGGTTCCACAGGCAAACTCAGGATCAACTGGAGACCTTGTGAGGTCAGAGGTCACCTATCCAGAGGTCTCCCAATGGCAGCAATGTGAGACTGGAGTTAGATATATCATTTAAAAATATTGAATAAAATTATCCTACTTTAAAAATCAGAAAAATTGCTGTGAATAGGCCTTAGATTAAGGAAATTTATCAAGAATAAAGAAAAACATTGCATAAGGATAAAGGGGTCAATTCTCTAAGAATTGGAAAATATCTTTAGCCTGTATGTGCCTAATGTTAGAGTGTCTGACTATGTGAGGCAAAAACTAATACAACTGCAAGAAGAAATGGATGAATTCACTAACAGAAATGGACAGATCAAGTAGGGAAGAATTCATTAAGAACATAATTAAATTCAACAATGCCATCAATCAGCTGGATACACTGACAGCTATAGATTATTTTACCCAAGAACAGCAAAATATACATATACTCTTCTCAAGCTTACATGGGACATTCACCAAAAGAGACCACATTCTGGGCCATAAAATAAACTTTAACAAATTTAAAAGGAAAGAAATCATTCCCTGTCTGCTCCTAGATCACAAAAGAATTAAACTAGAAATCACAGAGAATTGTAAAAGCCCAAATACATGGATATTAAACAGCATAGTTCTATATAACACATAAGTTAAAGAAGAAATCCTGAGAGAAACTAACAAGCATTTTGAACTAAATGAAAATGAAAACAACTTATCAAAATGTGTGTGATGCAGTAAAAGGGGTTGTTAGCGGTACATGCATATATTAGCAAAAAACCTAAAATCAGTAGCTTAAGTTTCCATCTTAGGAAACTAGAAAAACACCAAATTAAACTCAAAGCAAACAGAAGAAATAAAACAGAGGCGAGAAGACATCAATAAAACTGAAAACAGGGAACCAATAGAGAAAATCAATAAGATTGATAAATCTTTCTAACAACAAAATCTAGGCCACAAATTGTTCATCTTGAAAATGAGAAAGGGGACATCACTACAGAACCCATGGAAGTTAATAAGGTAATAGAGTATATGAACAGCTTTGTGCCCCTAAATTTGATAGCCTAGATGAAATTATTTGAAAGACACAATTTGCTAAAGCTCACAAGAGAATAAACAGGTCATCTGAACGGGCTTGCATTTAAACTCAGCTGTATCTCACAGTTGTTATGCAACTTTGGACAAAGCAGTTGTCTGAGCTCTCTGCATCCCAGGTTCCTCATCTGCAAATTGGGTAGACTTGTACTTCTAGGGTTGGGGCGTGGTGGAGGCTAACGAGGGTAAGATACAGGTGGCTGGGTAATAGCTGAGCTGTCCATATCCTGTCCTGGCTCCCAGCCCAGCACCTTTTGCTATTCCACCTGGGTTCTTCATCAGTTCTGAAGTCACAGCACGAACTCTTCTGCATCTATGCCCTACACGCTCAATGTAGCAAGAAGGTACGTACATATGCCACAGGGTCATTGCTCCGAGTGCCCACGATGCTGAACTTCTTTACATGTGTGTTGTCTTTCAGAGCTTCTGCATATGCCTTGAGGGTAGGTATGGGGATATTCTGCAAAGAAAAAGGCAGACAGTGACCAGCAGCCCTCACCAGGTGCAGGCTGGAGAGACAGATGCCTCTCAGACATGCAGCCTCTGCCCCAAACTAATTGAATGAGGAAAGCATTTCTTTCATTTACCCCAAATAGCTGAGATTTAGGGAGATCTTTCTGGTAAAAAAAAATTGAGAAAATACCACGTAACACCCATGGCAGCACATAGACAAGAGGAGGAAAAAAAAACAAAAAAGGCAGAGGGTGAAGAGGAGACCTGTGCCTAGATCCTGGGACTGCAGGTGGGAGAAGGCAGGGGTTCTTTGGCTTCCACCCGGGGTATTGTTCTGACTTGCTCTAAGATGCTGGGGAAGTTACTCCCTCACCCTGGACCAGTTTCTGGGAAACTGAAGTAGGGGAAGTTTTCCTAGATGATCTCTAATAAACCCCTGTTCTGGAGGGTCTCTGCCTTGTTGCACATTGAAACTTTTACAAAATGCTCATGGTTGGGCCTGTCCCAGACCAATAAAATCAGCATTTCTCAAGGGTGGTATGGGGAGGGGAGGGGCTGGGCCTGTTCAGGTGGAGCCCACTGGGCTAGTCTACCTGCCTCATGTGTGAGGGTCCAGCCCTAGCCTGAGGCCCCCTCTGTCAGGGGCCAAAGCAGCAGCCAGGTCCCACATCCAAGCTGCCCAAGCCAGCACTTTCTGCCAGCACACAGCTCAGAATTGTGCCAGCACCTCTCCGTGGGCACAAAGCAGACAATGGAGGCAATCAAGACAGACCCTGGCTGTGTTTTCATAGCTCTCTCATTTCAGAGTGTCATTTTAGCTCCCCTTGGGAGCAGAGCATGGGGAGGCCAGGTGAAGAACTCTGTGGGAACAGGTTTCCAATCTGATTGTGCTTTAGGGCTGGCAGTCACTGAAAAGAAAGATAAGAGAGACGAAAGAGGAGCTGGAGCGTGAGGGCCCTGCTTCTTGTCTTACTCCCACCCCACCCCAGAATTAATCCTGCTGGCGTCCGGGTGGTCATAGAGAGATCTGGACTTGCATTATGTCTTTACTGGGGCCGCTGCTGAATGCAGCTGACCATACACACTACACAGAAGCAGCATTGAAGGACAAGCCCCTTTGGGCTTGGATGGCCCCACAAGCCTACGGCCGCTGCCCCAACTCATGAGGTTCTCTTGGGGGAAGCACTCATGGTTTGAATGACATGTTGGGTTTGCAGAGTGGAAGCCCAGACTGGCCCCTGGCGAACACCTGGGCCACGTGGCAGTTCTCCAAAAGGAACCAGGCGTGGGATGCCCATGTTTACACTGTCCAGCCCCCGCCAAGGTTTTGTCCTATTTCTGATCCAGAAGCAGTGAGAGCCCCCAACAGGACCCTGTTCTCTTTACACAGCCAGGCCCAGGCTGTTGGCCTCTGGGTGCCACCGGGCATGGCTTTCCCCGCTTCATTGGGACTTTACCCGGATGTTGTTGAGGTTAACCTCTTCAAGTTTCGGGTCGTTGCTTTTTATCCGCTCCAGCGTTTCCTCTACATCTGTTGAATTTGGTTCTTCATCGGGCACAGGCTTGTATTGCGTGGGTTTGATGACACCTAGATGAACAAAAAGAGGGAGGTGGCTCACAGAAGTGGGGTGGAAGGTGACCACTTTCCTCAATGCAAGGACATTGGAAGGAGCTGGGGGTGGGAGTGGCCATTGATGGACATGCAGACACTACCAGGAGAGGTGAAGCGCTGGGAGAAGCCTGTGGGACTGGGGGCCAGGGCTCAGCAACTCTGGGGACCCCGCCTTTGAAGCCATCCTGAAAGGGCTGAGAGAATGACCAAATTCTCTGCACCTCGATGTCTGCATCTGCGCAGTGTGGACAGTCATTTTACCTAGGTTCAGTGGGCTTTTGTGAGGCTAGAGCAAAACTTGGATGGGAAAGAGTGTGAATTTTCCACAGGGAGGGATAATAATCCTCTGGGCACCCTCATTTCTCTTTATACACCAATGTGGGACAATTCAGTGTAGCAATTGTGACAGCGCAATATGGCACATGGAAGGACATGATGGACCAGGGGACAGAAGAGGCCCCTGAGACAGACCCAAACTATGATTCCAGTGGTGAAGCTGAGCTGTGGAAAGACTGGTGTTGGGACGATAGGCAGCTTTCGAACAATGAAAGCTTGACGTCATCTCACGGTGCACACAGACAGAAACTCCAGGTGGACTGAGTGCTGAATACTGTGACGAGGATACTGTTCACACACCAGACGCATTCTCACCATTAGGCTAATCGTGCTTTGTGAATGTGTCACCTACGGGGAACATCCTGCAGTTTTACTTGCTGGTGTTATCTGGATGTGGAGACTAAATTTTGGATGCTCCTCTCCCCCCAAAATAAATAAACTGAATATAAGAAGTCGATGCACTTGGAATAGTATCTAAATATCCAGAAGAGGATATTTAGATACTACTGTGACAGGGAAGGTCTTTAAAAATAAGATAC